GTATCGTCTATTTTGCGTTCTCGATACTTGAATTTGCTTATGTATCTCTGCGTGTAATGTCAATCGTTTGGTTTCAGTGATGATGATTCATGAACGGATCTGTTTAGGGTTCGAGTAGATAACTATAGTCTAAATTCGGTGTGTTTCTACATGATTTTTAGGTTTTAATGTTAGATATTTCTCGTGTTTTAGCTGTTTGTGAAGGCGAGTGATGGTCGTAGAGTTTCCAATCGAAGTTTCAGAACGATTGTGTTCGTAATTCTGCTCTGTTTATGCTGTATTCTCTTGATTGATATTGTTTATACCACTGGCGTTGAGTGATTTGCTCTGGATAATCTCTTTCTTAGGGATTTGACTTGCTCTCTTTTGTTCTTTGTTGTAATTGTGGTGGTATTTTCCTTGAATTGAAGAAATTATCTAGTTCGTATAGAAGAATCTATATCCAATTCTGCTTTAGTCTCTTTGTCTGCAAAACAGAATAGCAGAAGAAAACAGAATAGAAGAAATCTAGAGTGCAAAGTTTTCTTTATTATAAGTATATTCTTTAATCCTCAATGTCTAGTAAATCGGTTTGTAAACCTAATCACATGTAGTGAGTTTTGGTAGTAGTTAATTTTGCTTTTGATTGCTAAAGTAAATATTATATTAGAGCTTCTTTGATGTTACCTTTGTGCTGTTTTGATTGAGATCAATGTGGTACACCAATTTGCTTGTTCAATTAACACATATTAAGGTGGTCTTACTTGTTTTGATCATGAAATGGGAAGCAGGTTTTGACGACATGGACAGCATATATGCTTCCCCTGATGATTTCCGGCAAATGAGAGAGCGTAACAAGGCAAAGGGACTTCACCTTCTTGATTTTTTTCGTTAAGAAATGTCATGAGATTGGGGTAAAAGACTCTTTTAACTTATAGATAGATCCATATATGTCTTTATGTCCGTTACTTGTATCATAATCTCATAGACAGTAACTTTTGATGGCTATGATACATGTAGGTTGGGTCCGAGGCCTAGATCAGGAAAGGTGATCCCACGGAAGTGATTTGCCATGAAGTGAGGCGGGTTAGGCCATATTTTCTGGTTGTGGGAAGTCGTGGTCTCTGCCCAATCCAAAAGTATGTACAATCCTCACATACTTCTCCAGTAGACTTATTGCTTTATAGTCGATACCCGTATAAACTAGTCCTTTGGTGTTTTGCCATAGATTTCACCACCCATAACCATGCTTTCGGTTTGACATGCTAATGAAGGGATTTAGAAGTTTCAATTGATGTTCTCATTATGTATTTTCAATGACTTATGGGTTTGGGAAAAACAAAGATCGAGAATGAATTTATGCAACCTGTGTGATGCATATGATCACACCTGCTTATTCGGTCTCTTTTCTTTTTTTGGTCAACTTGACTTGCAGTATATTGTGTTTACTTAACTATCATACCCCGTTTTTGGAAATGGCGTTTCGCCAATCACACATATCGTTATTTGTTGATGGTGATTCTATATCGACAGTGTAACATACTTTTCAATGATATTTTCAAGAACTCGAGGATTTACGAAGCAATCAGATTACTAAGCGGTATAATACAAATCTGAGTTTCGAGTGACCATATACTACATTATTAGATACTAGTTGTAGATCAGCGACAGTGCAGAGGACTGAAACACATGTCATGAGCTTAATCATGTTCTGGCATACGGACAAAGAGCATGGAGACAAATATAGAGAAAAGGATCAAACAACAAGCCCAGACTTTTAGGACAGATGGAAATCCATGACATGATCATACTCAGATTGAAAATTCAAAGCAAAGCCAACTCCATATGAGACGTGAAGTTAAAATACATTGATGGTCCTTAAAAATTAGTTTATACCTACATAAAACTTGGACAAGCTGGGCCTTTGGAGAGACCAAGCCGAACCTCCATGCCGTGGTGAAAGTCTACTGGTTTGAGCGTCTCGGATTCACGAGGATCTGCAGATTATCAGAACAACCGATATAAGGTGAAGAAAAAATAAACAAGTTGAACACTTTTCTTCCTATGTTAGAAAAGAAAAGCCTCTGGCCCTTGAGGTCAGCAGGAACGTTGTATAATACTAAACGAAATTTTCTGAAACAATGTGAATTACTGAAACAGGCATTATGTGACATGGGAGAGACTACATTCTACATTTTGAGCAATGCTCAACAATTTTATAAGTATACAACTCCATTGGTTTTTGATGTGAATGATCTAACGAACGAGACTAGTAAATGAAGTTCTGAGCCCCAACCAAAAGGGAATAGAGTTGGAAAACAGTTACCGTTCAAGTTGTCTTCGAAACAAAAATTATCTACTGTTCCTGTGTACACTCAAGGCCAAGCATTGTCGAGGGAATTGGTACAGGAGGTCTCTGAAACCTGAATACTCCACAGAGAAAAAGATATTTAAATAAATGTTCAGTTAACCAAAGAAAGATGCTTCAGTCTCTATATAGTTTGCAAGTCTAAAGAGTTTCCGCAATGCGATTATGGTTCTGGGTTCCGTTTTAGTCATTACGATGATTCATGCACACAAATCTAATTCACAACATTTTAAAATTTATAACAGAAACTGATCAAACCATATAATATAAATTGCAATCACTGGAAACCATATTTCAACCTATCAGTAGTAGCACCTAAAGGAAGAATACATTTTCATATCTAATAACCAGACACCAGTATGAGTTAAGCAAGCAACTTAGTTTAGATAACAACCCAGAGAGTTTCAACTATGCATTTATGGTTCTGAGGTATCTTCAAATGTTGTTCATCTCCGTAACGGTATCTCGTGACATCACTTTGAATCTAATAAGAGAAAGAACAAGCCCGGCACATTAACAATTCACGTAAAGTAAGTTTAACAACCTATGTTTCTGAGAATCAATCAGAAACATAATATGTTTTCGAAAATTTATGTAAAAGAGAAAAAGATGAAGAATCATCTATAATAAGAATGTAGGTACTCCGGTAAGTATCTAAGAGCAACCAGAACTACTAAGTACCTGTGTTTAAATAGGAGTAGTGCTGCTCTCCCTAAGCTTCACGGCATCCGAGTAGCTCAAGCAAGGAACTGGTTTGAGTTCTGTGTACTGCAACGGAAACAAAAACAGATTCTCAGGGACTAAAACAATTAGGCATTCCGAAAAACCAAAGAAAGAAATGAAGAACTCTAGTATAGTACAAGTCAAATTTATTAGTAAAGTTACAGCTATCCAAAATGTTCCACTCTCTCCGGGACATGAAAACGAGAAAGATAATCGAAGAGCAAAATGCGTGATCAAATAGTTCAAACACAAGAGATGGTATACCTAGAGTGCCATTCCAATTATAGCAAGAGGAAATCCATATGTTAGCATTATAGCAGACCACTCAGATCTAGGAAGGATATTAAAAATAGGCCCCAAAACCATACATGTAGGGTTTAGCACATCCATAATGAAAATCACACATAACTATAGCAGTAAAGAGGGCATAGAACGCAGGCATTATGTGACATGGGAGAAACTACATTCTGCAATTTGAGCGATGCTCAACAATTGTACAAGTACAGAACTCCATTGGTTTTTGGTGTGAATTATCTAACGAGAAGAGGCTAATAAATGAAGTTCTAAGGCCCAACCAAAAGGAAGAGAGTTGGAAAACAGTTACCGTTCAAGTAATCTTCGAAACCAAAATCATCTACCGCTCCTGTGTACACTTCAAGGCCAAGCATTGACGAGGGAATTGGTCCAGGAGGTCGCTGAAACCTGAATACTCCACAGAGAAAAAGATATTTAAATAAATGTTCAGTTAACCAAAGAAAGATGCTTCAGTCTCTATATAGTCTGCAAGTCTAAAGAGTTTCCGCAATGCGATTATGGTTCTGAGTTCCAATATAGTCATTACGATGATTCAAGCACACCATATTTTAAAATTTAGAACAGAAACTGATGAAACCATACAGATTGCAATCACTGGAAACCATACTTCAATCTATCAGCATTCAGTAGTAGCACCTAAAGGAAGATTACATTCTCATATCTAATAAGCAGTATGAGTTAAGTAAGTAACTTAGTTTAGATAACAATCTAGAGAGTTTCCAGTCCACTATGCGTTTATGGTTCTAAGGTACACTCATAGAGGATTGTAATAATCAGTGTGGGTTAAGTAAGCATGGTAACTCAAGAGGATTTGCTTATCAAGAAGGAAGAGCAGCTCCATAAGTATGTGCAATAACTTTCCTCTTCATTTCCTCTTGTGATGTCTTTCCCTGAATCAAACCAAAAATCAAAATCATAAGTCTCGTAAATTAAGAAGAAAACCAATCAACGAAACTGACGATTGAAGAAACGAAGGTCGTTAATCAAACAAGCCAAGCTTAATTTTCACTTTTCTCTCTAAATAATGAGCATGAAAAGCAGAGATGGGAATTTGTTTACAGATTCGTAGGCTGATTCGAGATGGTGTGAGATCCAACGATATCGCTCTTAACGCCGTGAAGACCAAAGCTAAGAGCGTCGTTCTTCAAACCTCCGATCTCATGAGCTATCTTCTTCGGCGACTCCATATTTTTCTCCGCCGTTGGTTAGCCGTCTGGGAAATCAAGGCGACTGGAGTAAGAAAACGAGGAAGGAGAGACGGCTAAAGAACCGGTGGCGCGAAGAGGGAAAGTATCAGAGGAGTTGTGACGAGGCGGAGGAATCATGACGGGGCGGAGGGAGAAATGGTGGTGGTGGTGACGGGATGAGAATTGGTGACGATCGGGTCGGGTTGTCGAGTCGAATCGAGTTGAGGGACTTTAGAGTCGACAACGGCGCGAGGGTTCCGACGAGACGGAAAGTTTCTCGGCGGAGACGGAATATTAAGAATTTTCTCGGGAAAATTGGTTTTGGGGATCGAATTTTATATTTTTTGTCCAGACGAATAAAACAGGGAATAAGATT